GGGGGTCGCCATACCTGTTACAAATTACTAACTTTTTTATGTTATGAGCTCCCAGTCTATTGGTAATAGTCAAAGAATAAGTCTTTTGAATATAGGGGAGAAGTGTGTACCTCGGGACACAGTGTACTTTGGGACACCTCCGTAGAAAGAAAACAAAATATAGTATTCTAACCTGCAAGTCAAAAAGTTGTTTTACTCTCTCATATATAGATGGCAGTAGGAAAAATACTGAAACATTTTATCTGCATATGGCGAACAATAACGGCATCCTACATTTTGAACTATAACAAGTAAATTTTTATCCAGTGACATCCTGTCGTTTAAAAATTAAAGTAAGTATTTTATTGCACTTATATGTAGTATAGTGAGTTGTTGAGATAATTGTATGATTATTTTTTGTTTTGAGAGGTCTGTTTCTCTATTTTTGCACAAGAATAACCTAATTTGTTGTATGTTTAACGGTATGTGTACCTTGGGACACAGGCACAGGTGTACCTTGGGACTGTCCCAAGGTACCCCTGTACAGTCCCAAGGTACACCTGTAATATTATTTTTTGTAGATATGCAGATATTCTTAATAAATATTGTTTGAATTTTTTTCTATGTAAGTCATAAATCGGTTGTGGTAAATCTGAAGTAGTATATGCATGGAGGCTGATGATTGTTCACGTTTTTGAACTGCAAATTTTAATTCGAAGCAAAAGCAACTTTTTGTCGTTTCAGAAATGCCTAGAAGCCATAATAATATCAAAAGGCACAAGCCTTCTTCTAAGGCTGTTAAAGCTGCAGCTGAAAAAGTTCTTAGCGGCCAATCCGGGCTAAGAGAAGCCGCTTTAGAATATAATGTCAGTAAATCAACACTAAGTCGACACTTAATAAAACACCGAAATGAAGATAACGAAGAGTTTCTGTATGCTCCAAACAATGCTGTTAAGCAAGTTTTCACCAAAGCCCAAGAAGGTGAATTGAATGTTTATTTAAAGCAATGTTCGAACATGCACTATGGTTTATCTACAGTCGAAGTGAGAAAGCTGGCCTATAATTATGCAAGAGTGAATGGGATAAAATATCCTGATTCGTGGGACCTTAATCAAAAATCTGGAGTGGATTGGTTAAAGTATTTTCTTAAGAGAAACAATTATTTAAGTTTACGAAAACCTCAGGCTACCAGCTTGGCTAGATCAACCGCTTTCAATAAAGAAAATGTTAACACATTTTTTGACAAATTAGAGAATGTCATAAAACGATTCAATTTTGGACCAGAGAATATCTATAATTTAGACGAGACTGGCATGTCTACTGTTCATGCCCCTGTTCGCATTTTGGCTCCGAAAGGCAAGAAACAGGTTGGCAGTATGATGTCAGGTGAGAGGGGATTAAACATAACAATGATAGGAGCCATAAATGCTGTAGGGAACTCAATACCGCCACTATTTGTTTTTCCAAGGGTCCATTTTAAAGACCACATGCTGAAGGGAGCTCCTATAGGTAGTGTGGGTGTGGCAAATCAAAGCGGTTGGTCAAACTCTGCAATATTTTTAGAATATTTACACCATTTTGTAAAATACACCCATTCTAGCCAAGAAAATAAAATTCTTCTAATACTGGATAATCATGAGAGCCACATCTCGGTGGAGATATTGAACTTTTCAAAAGAACATGGCATCGTCATGTTAACATTACCACCACACACTAGCCATAAGCTTCAACCTCTCGATAGGTCAGTCTTCGGACCATTGAAAAAATATTACAATACCGCATGTAATGAGTGGCTGTTATCAAATAGTGGTAAACCCATGACACTTTATGATGTGGCTGAATGTGTTGGAAAAGCCTTCCCCAAGGCATTTTCTCCTGCAAACATTCAATCTGGATTCAGGGTAGCAGGAGTTTTTCCTCTTAATAGGAATATTTTTGAAGAACATGAATTTTTAAGTTCCTTCGTAACGGATAGGCCACTGGAACAGTCGACAAGAAATTCCCCACTGGCTACCAAAGATTTATCAGAAAACGACGAATCATCAGCAAATTCTGGTAATATTTTTATGAATATTCGGTAGGTCTTAGCATTTCCTTTATCTGTTTTCTTTAGTTATAGATAGCCAACCAGTTCCGGGTCCATCAGGAATAACTATCACACCCGATAAAATACGACCATTTCCAAAGGCTCAAGCTAGAAAGGGAGTCAAACGTGGTGGAAGAAAACTTGGCCGATGTAGGATACTCACGGATACCCCTGAGAAAACTGAAATAGAAGAAGAGGCAGCAATGAGAGAGCGAAAAAACAAATGTAAAAGACTACAGTTAAGAAAATTTTAGTTTCTCCCAGTAGTAGCAGTTCGGATAAAGAAAATCAGTCGATTTCTTCAAGTGATAGCTTAGAAGATATTGAATGGGACAAACCTGAAAGTGAAGATGAACTGTCTAACGATGAAATACAAGTAGACGGGTTTGTCCTGGTCAAACTGATGGGCAAGAAGTCAATAAAGTTTTATGTAGCAAAAGTAATTGAAATGTTACCCGATGACGTTTTGGCGGTAAAATATTTGAAAAAGTTAGTTGGAGGCAAGTTCATATTTCACAATGAAACTGTTTATGAAATTTCGACATCCGAAGTTGTTATGATTCTGCCTCTTCCTCAAGTAGCAGGAGGAACTGAGAGAAGGAGTCATCAAATGCGTTTTTCGGTGGATTTTTCTGGTTATAATATTGAATAATTTGATGTCCCAAGGTACCCACGGTGATGTCCCAAGGTACCCAAGGGAGTGTGTACCTTGGGACAAAAAATGTGTTTTTTAAAATGTTGATTTTCCTATTTTGGTATGAGATTTAATGTTTAGTTTATGAGTATGTGTTAGACCCTATGTTAAAATAAGAAACTATGTGGAAACAATTTTTTTAAAATAAATGATTTCCCAAATACAAGCTTTTTCAATAAAATGTCCCAAGGTACACACTTCTCCCCTACATATTAACAAATAGATGAGGAAAAAAGCAGCGATGTTCAATCAAAATAAAAGTTGTTTTGTCTATTACGAGCAGCAATATTAAGCTATATCCTGATACTGATGCCGAAGTTTGCTTTGCTAGAGAAAATTTCCTTCGTAAACTATCAAGTTCCAAATATACATTGCGGAAATCGAATGAAATACTGTCTGCTGATGGTTCAAAATTTACATTTTTGGAAACACTCAAAATGTAAAATTCATCACGAAAAAGATTCCCACGTACATTATTGATCTAGCGTGCAAGAAATTCTTGTCAACCGACAATCAATCAATGATACCTAGGTATTAAGGGCGGTATAAGTGTCGTTTACCGCCATAGAGAGCTCCAATATTTGGGGATGGTTAAGAACACTTAATGCCCAAAATACTTCTAACATTTTACGCATGATCGGGCTTTTCTAGTTCAAAAATAAAATAACTATATCTACATAATGGCATCCATTTGACCTATGTATTTGGCATTGCATTCAAAAATAAACAGTCTTCACCTTTATAAAGGCGCGCTTGGATTTTCTTAATAATAATAATACATTTAGTTTTAGTAGTTGCATGGGTGATTATAATAAAGAATTCTAAATGTTCTATTTCCCAGAAGAAAAGTTTAGGACGGTAAAGTTCAACTTACTGCCCGGAAATGCGCGAGCAGTAATTTAAATTTACAGCCAAATCGTACATAAATAACTATGAAGTAATAACTCTAATCATATCAGCTATAACTATGTTATTTTAGTGGCTAAGATTCTTTATATTTATGTGGTCATCTTAGGAAGTTTCTGTATAGTACCTAATGTTGAAAATAGAGACGCACCATATATTAAAAAAAAAAAATAGGTAGTTAGGTACATTTTGCCATGATATTATTGTAGTATTAATTATTTTTTTTAAACATTGCTTGCAAACATGTAAAATAGATACTTAAATTTAAATTGGTATTCTTTTTTTTATGTTTCCTTTTCTTGTTCTCCACCGTGCAAGTACCTACCCATCAAATTACCATTACATAATTCTTCAGTAGAGTAGATTTATATCTTCGCCTCGTCTGTCGTCATACTTTCCGTCCTTGCACCATCACCGACGGATTTTGCCATTCAAAGTCCCAACTGGTTTTAGTAGAAGATGGAACTTAAACGTTCGCAAAGCGAGTTACTACAAGCACTGACCTGTTTCTGTTTGTTATAAAACTAACGGTCAAACGCAGAAGAGAACAATGCCAGAACGAATAATGGATACCTACTTTGTTTTTTCCTGCACACTGCACAGTTATTTTTGTATTTTGTGTTAAACCTAATATTAAAAAAATAATAAAACTAGGGATTAATAGGATGATTTTTGCTTGAAGTATTATGTATTATTATTATTGTCCTTTTCACTTTTAAAACGCACCGAAATTTTGCTACTGGGTAGCGTTCAGATGTACCTATCTAGGTATATCTACCTATACAAATTTATTGATGTAAGACGAAATTCTGGCTGTGTGGTTTTCACATGAAAAATGGTGTGGCAGTGGAAGAATTTACCGCAATAAACTTTTATCATTGAAAACATTCAAACGGTCATTATGTTAATAGGTACCTACTATACGTATGGCGCATAATAAGGATAACCATAAATAAGAAAAACCTTGATAAGTATTGTTATCAAATTTCGAAAATAAGGGATACTTATTAGTCATAATGCAATAACGCTTATCTATTAAGTAATTAATATCAATTTATTTCAATAATTCTTCAAAAGTTTGAAAGAATTTCATTTGTCTAGCTTTCCCTTCCCATTCTCATGAAATTCATTAAACACAAAAAAGTCGTTACAAAAACACACAATAGGTAATAATTATTATACATATTATTATGCTCCCTTTCCGATGATACGTAATAACCAAGTTGCCGGTTCTTGCACATCAAACAGACCATGATATACAAGAAAGAACCAGCTGTTTCTTGAATGAGTATCGACCGGATATCTAGGTGGTGGGGAAGAAAGGCCATCCAAAGGCCGACTGGTACCCAGCTGAACTGAAGAAGCGAAGAAAACAAAACAGTGCAATTCCTTCTTCGGTACGACTCACTTCGCTAGCGACTTGTAATTTTCTGAATCGACAATGGTACGCAGTTTGACTCAGTGGACGAAAACCCTGAGTTTCCCTACGAGGCTTTCGCCAAATAATAAAAGTGCAAAGGAAGTAAGCCCTACAGTGACTCCGTCTCTCAGCAACAATTCATTGACCGCGAGTACTGTTAACAATAACAAAGAAAACAACAATACGATGAACAATAATAATAATTGTAGTTCTATGACCGAAATTAATCAAGTAAGTATGCATTAGGATATTGAATTTTGCCTTCAGAATTGCAGATTTTGGAAGGTTGAAGTTGAAATGTTTTTAATTTTTCGACTTTTTTTTAAGAACCTCAACTATTCTCAAATTAATTTGTTAGAACTTAAATTTGATGTTTGTTGTCACGGCCAAACCAGCAAACAACTCAAAGGGTCGATGTTTCCTATCCCGGATATGCGTCAATTAACGCTCTAATTATAAACAAAACGATGATGTCTAAAATAAATGATAGAAAAAAATAATAATAATTTAGTCAAATTCCCAGCAAATTCATGTATACAAATCTGGCATGAAATAAGATCACCAGATGTTTTTGATGTGTCGAATTTCACGTTAAATCCAAATATTTCAAGAAGTTCCGTCTTGTGAGGTTGTTTTTTTCCTAAAATTTGCTTGAAATATGAATCATCAAAGCCAACCGAAACAATTTTTTAGAAATGTTACCTACTTTATTGTCCACTCTAGTCTCAAGTAGGTTCCCCCTACTGTGTAAGTTTATTGTAGGGTATTTATTGTGTTCATAAAACTCAATTTGAATGAGTGGGTAGCTTTCAGGATAATAAGGTTTTGGTCTCATTAGGAAACATTGAACTCGTAGGTAGATAATAATTAACTATATTTTTATTGGTATAGGTTTTTGTTTTTGAATAACATTTAAATCAAATGTGGTTTATAATGTCTACAATAAAAAAAATCAAGATCTTTCTAAAAGAAAAAACTACAATGTATATTTAGTTCTCTCTGACTTCTACAGCCATTTTTCTCTCTTTATATTCTTGCCGGGTACTTCCTAGATTTTCTAGATTCTTTTCTGTATGGAATAAACACATGTTTTTGTTATTTGGATTGAAACAACCTGGGAAACAACTTTCTTTTAAATAAAGTTTCACATTCGGATAAATAGGTCTCACACTTGAATGATGTTCTATCTTTTCATCTTCCTCCGCATTAACATAGCAGTCATCGTAATTTTCTCGGCCTTGACAAGTCTGTTTCTGTTTTCTCATTATAAATTATTGTAATCGTTATACATAGTTATTCACTTAATAAGAGCCGAAAAGCGACTTTATATATACTTATCCACAAAACATTAGCGGATTACAGTTATTTTTCAATTTCTGACAATCAGTATAAGCTGCAAAAATAATCATCAAAATACAAGATAATTAATAATTAAAATTATTAGCTGGCAATTATAGGCTAGACCTAATTAATATACTTTAAATTGCTATTGATCTACTTACATTACTTATCCTCAATAAATTGAAATATTTAGCTTGGACATTTTTAAACCCAGTTCTAAACGATAAAACAGATTTTAGTAACTAGGTACCTACTGCAGACAGTTGAGTTGTTATAAAATAATTATGAAGTTTACAGTTTTAGTTTGAGCATCTGGAGCAATTTATGTGAATTCTTTGAATTTATTAATTCAAACAAATGGTAGGAAATTCAAAATTAAAATTATGCAATACAGAGTCATTAACATATGTAGTTGATTCTTTCACTTATTCTCAAATCACAAAAAATTTTAAAACACATTTTTTCTGTGATTTTTGTTTTGTCTATTGCCACTTAATTTTTGTATGAATTTGTCCTTCTAATTTTAGGAATCCTACCTACTAAATGAACTTAGCCTTAAATTAAACCCTTAGACTTTGCCCTCAACCAACCCACAACACAATCTAATCTATCATAAAGTCAATATTACTCAAAACCCTAAAAAAATTTTATGATGGCTCCCAAGGGTCTCTACAATCATTATTGGAATTTAAACACTATACATTTTTCTACTGATGTGCTTTTCATAAAGCTGAAGTCTAAAGTTCACTTTCAAAATTCCTATCATTATTATAATTTCTTTCTGTGGATTGTTGATTACATTAGATGGACAGCTGCACTTTCAGTTTACAACTTTTCCCCTGACAGCTGAATCCTGCATTTTTGTGAACGCGTGCCCCAACACGCTCAACCAATCGAGATTTCTCGGACCTTAAAAAAGGTCAATATAGGTTGGTAGGTATCGGGTACCTAGAAAGGTGGTAAGGTGCATCTGTCCAATCCGGACACCAGCTGTTCGCATAATTTATAGTAGCTTTTGGCTTCAATGATGTGATTTTAATTTACCAATGTTGGTTGTAGCTTTTCAACTTTAGTTTAGTGTTGAAAAAGTTTAAATATGGCCTGATAGCTCTTCCACACTCGAAATTTTTGTCAGAAATAGTCGAACTTTCAATATTATCGACTGTACTTTCCCTTCACAAGCACTGATTGCATTACGGTCTTTTTTGTATATGTAATTTAAAATTCTGTTTTGTTAAAATATCCATTCGTAAATCAACGATACCTAATTTAGGACGTTCGGCAAGTGTTTATTGCAACGTCGGATTGTCTGAGTTGACGTTGGCTTGCTGATGTCCAATAGGGATGGCAATAACGTCTAAAAAATATATGGCTCATCATCTTTCATCATAGGCGATCACTCGATACCAAGTATGATTATCTTCTATTCTATTCTCAATATAGTCGATTGTGCGTTTTCTGATATTAAAAACCAATTCTGAAGTCGCAAAATTTTCCACAATCTTGGCATACCCAGCCTCTGGCAGCATTGTATCTCTCTAGTTTCTCGCTCCTTTCGGCGGTCCCTCTTTTCGGCCTCATGTCTGCGTCGTTCTTCTTCAAAAGTTTGTGGTCCGTCGTGGACTACTCGTCACCATCAAGGCCTATCATTTGCCGTCGTTTCCCAGTTGCTGGTATCGATGCGGCTTTTTGCCATATTTTCCTTAAGAACATCTTTATAACGTTTTTTTTTGCCCTCCTTGAATTCGTTTCCCCAGTTGACTGTAGAGAATCTGCCAGGGAAGACGTGTTACGTGTTTCGGGCTTGCGAACGAGGAATCTTGTCCAGTCCAGCGAAAATAATGGTGCCTAATGATGAGGGCTTCCATGCTATTTGTTTTGACCTCTATACTCTTAAATACTAATGTTCGTTCGCCAGTTCGTATGCCACTCTAGGAAACTAGCAAGAGAGTTTCGGTATAGGTACCTAACTTTTTCCCTGTTGAGTTTTACTTTTACTTTTTACGTATTACTTTTACTTTTAAATGAAAACAAATTGTTTAAACTTAAAACTTGTTCTTTATTGCTCATCAGCCATCCGACAATATTTTATAAACGTCAACTGCCAACTGCTATACGGTCTGTTTGTTATCCTGCACTAGTACACAATAGTTTAAACTTTTCTGCACTGAGGCGTTTGTTATGCGCTTAGCGCAAATTGTGTAAGGCGTTTGTTATTTCAGTGTAGTGCCCAATCTTGCACTAAATACGTACACCTGCTCAAGAGGAGGTGTAACAAGTGCAGAATGGGGAGGAGGCAATAACTTTCTCAATGAAGCTTTATCCAGAGATGGAACATATGGAATCTTCGTTTTCCTCTATGATTTACGACAACTAAACCTTGTAAATTTAATTTTTTTTACTTACTTACCCTGGTGTTCATGAGCTACATCTACTTACACTATCAGTCTGCACTCTACTATCATACACGGGAATAACAAACAGACCTATATATCAGATCGAAAGCCTAGGCCCATAACTTAAGCCTCATTTACACGGTGCAAGTAGCTTGAGCAAGTACTAACGCCAGTAGCTAAATTATCTTTGTTTTCGTGCAAGTGAGTGTCTACATGCATTTTACTGATTTTAAGTCGAATTTAGTGATTAGTGCAAATTGAGGTGAAATCGCAGCAAGTACAGTTGTTTGAAAAGAAATTCAAAAATGCATTTTGAGTGTTTGTGCAGAATTATCAGAAATTTTATTGAAAGAAATTGAAAAAGAAAAACATTGTTGGGTTCGACCATGGATATCTCGTAGAGAAACACATGGTGCATCTTTCACATTAGTTGAACTGGCTAAGGAAGATTCAGAGGAATATCGAAATTATATGCGGATGACAAAAGGTGCAACAGAATATCTACTCAAAATATTCAAATTCGAACCCTACTAATGTACTTCACTAATCACTAAATACAAATCCTGTCTACACGCGTCGAGCCGCTAAAGTCAGTAAAATAAACAAGAGTGGGAGAAGCCACTTGCTCAAGTAAATAGAACCTGCTTCTATTCACTTGACTAATCACTTGACTAAAGAGTTCACTTGCTCAAGTACTAAATTAAGGTGTTTACACGATTCAAGTTACTAAATTTTAGTTACTGGCGTTAGTACTTGCTCAAGCTACTTGCACCGTGTAAATGAGACTTTATGCTTTGGCCATCTGACAGTATTTTACAAACGTCAATTAGCAACTGCTATACATAATCAGATTAAAACTATTTTCTAAATTTCTGACAGAAAAATAACTATAATATCAATATCACTACTAAGTGAATGGAAAATGACAATGACCGGCATAGAATGGTGGATCCATCGGTAAGGTTTGATGTAGGATTTGTAGTGACTGTGAACTCAAATTCTTCTTCCAGCTTTTACAATAGTTTTTCTGTTTCTTTCTCATCACTGTTTTTTTTTTTTTTTTTTTTTAAGGATATGCGCACTCGCAAGGAAATGTCCTATCGCGCTCGAGAAGCGGCAAGTGCGCGGAAATGTCGGTGTATGTTGGTCTTGAAACGGTTCAGGTTGTAACCTGCAGGGAAAACCGTCGCAGGGAGTTTATTCCACAGCGATGCTGTTCTCCAGAGATATGAATTCTGATATAATGAGGTTCTTGGTGCCTCTAGTTTGACAGTAAATTCATGGTTACCGTCTGTTTGACGGGTTCTACCAGGCGGAACTCTCGGTGGAATCATACGTGCCAACTCTTCAGAGCATTTTCCGTGATAGTACCTGTAGAAGAGAGATAAATCGCCCACAGATCTGCGATGTTCGAGACCATCCAAGTTACGAGTAAGTGCGGGGTCATTGATCAGCTTGATAGCTCGTTTTTGCAAGGTATTCAAAAGCATTAAG